ATAAAACCATAGCGCAATAAAAATAATATGGAATCTAATGGCGAACGATTTAAAGCAGTGAGATGAAACACCGTTAGAGGCTAAATTGGAAAATGCGTAAAAACTATATTTTGTTTTTATTTTTTTGAGTGGTGTTCCAGTAGCCGCAGTAGTTGGAGTGTTATGATTTCTGAAATCTGAATTACTGCTACAGTCAGTTTTTCTTGGAAATGGTGCTGATTACAATGTCTTTGCTGCAAAGAACCATTAATGCAGATTCTCGATTTCTGAAAAAATCGACGTCAGGAAACTATCTAACCACACGACCGAGAAAACATAAACAAGTAGCCAGAGATAGTATAAAAAACGTCTACAACAGAAGACCGTAAGAAGTTGACCAAACAAATCCATTAAAGAATAACCCAAGCAGTGAACTGAAAGGCGATCTAAATGCTTTATTTCGAGTTATTTGAAATAAAGTGAGTTCTGAAAACATAAAGAATAGTTTCGAAATCAAATTTCTTTAGATTTGCGTTACGAAAAGTTGATGAGTGTTCAAAAATAAGAATTATGAATTAATTCCTTTCTGACAACTGCCCAAAGCGACCACTGTAGTACTTTTTAAAAGAAAAATTTGGGTTTCCGAAAATTAAACCTCTGTACTATTATTGGCGGCTGTTTGGTATTGCGTAATGCCATTCCGAAGGTCAGAATTCAAGTCCAGGTCCGACGAACATCTAAAAATCTTAAAATTTAATTTAAATAAATAAAATATATAAATAAATAAATAACACATTTTTCTGCTTACGGTCGCCACTCGGCGGGGAATGTCAACACCTTCCACAAATCGGAGGAGGAGCTCGGCTGAAAATTCCAGCAGCAGTTATAAAGCGCCAATAATATACGAATATATAAATACTAGTTTAAATCTCCATTCAAACAGAAATATCAATAATGGCCATTTGAGCTGCATTTTACTTTTTGACACTATTTGTGAGAGCTAATTTCTATTTTGATATTTTATTTTCTTCGCTGGGAAATGGTAAGCCATCATACTTTAAGAAACTAGTATGCAACTAGTGTACATTTTGTGGCACTAAAAATTCCTCTCTGTTAAAAAGACTAGCCACTGTCGTGGGAAATTAAGCAAAGTCAAATTGGTTGACGTAGAAATTCAAATTCTTAGCAAATGCTACCCTCTCTATGGCTCTGTATCACTCTCTCTCTCTTCCTCCTTCTCTAATAACCACCTCATTTGCCATATGTATAAATAAATAATCTCGAAATATGGGTAACTCCTAGGCAAAAATTATGTTAAAAAAACTGAAGGCTGCCCATTTCTGTTCTTGGCTTAACCTGCACTTCTCAAGTATTTGGAATTTGTTGTCATACTTCCATACTAACTACTATTGATTTTAATTAAGCTAAACTCTGAGAAATTGTATATTTCGGTAGAATAATTTATATAGAAAAAAAAATAAAATAATTTCTTTTCTAACTTAAGAAAACCGATTTTGGACAAAATAAAGGGGTTTCCAAGGGATATAACTTCATTTCTAAATGTCATTTTGGTCATTTTAAATACTTCATGATCTGTCATTTTATCATTGTCTTCAGTAATGTTTACAAGAAGAACGTTTTCAAACCACAACAACTTGAAAACGATAACAATTTTTTTGAGAAAGTCATTTTCACCGTTGAAGCTCACTTTCATCTGGGTGAATAAATAAGCAAACTGCTATTCATGAACAACCATTACATTCACCACAATTGACAAGCTGATAGCATGGTAACTGTCAATAGAGAGCGGTATAGATCGATGATAGCCATATTTTTATATCCACAATTGTAAAAAGTTGTTAGTCTTAACTATATCTGGTTAGACATGTCACACAGCGCGCACAACAACCGAATTGTTGCGAGAAAGGTTTGGAGATTCGATTATTTCAAGAAATTGTGACATTGCATGGTCTCTGAAAAGTTGTGATGACTACTACTCACTGGTCTTCAGCAATAAACCAAACTCTCTTCAAGCTTTTAAGGTCAATGTTAAATCTACTATTCAGAGCAATGACTTGATTTGGTCCAAAAATTGCCCAAAAAGTGGGTTCTTCGAACTCGTTCCTGCAAAAGAAGTGGTGGAGACTATTTGAAAGATGTTGCATTCAGACCTTAATTGTATGGATTCGACTTCACATTATATAAAAAAAACATTTGAATTTTCTTAACAAAAATATTTTTTTTTGTTTTTTAAGGAGTCATATGACTCTTATTGGAAACCCCATATATTTTCCGCTATCTCTCTCTCTTTCTCTCTCTCTTTCTCTCTCTCTTTCTCTTTCTCTCTCTCTTTCTCTCCTCCCTCCCTCCCTCTCTCTATCTTTCTCTCCCTCCCTCTCTCTCTTTTTCTCTCCCTCCCTCTCTCTCTCTTTCTCTCTCTCCCTCTGTCTTTCTCTCTCTCTCACTCTCTCTCTCTTTCACTTTCTCTTTCTCTCACTCTCTCTCTCACTTTCTCTCTCACTCTCTCACTCTCTCTCTCTCTCTATATATCTCTCTCTCTCTCTCTCTTTATATATATATATTTTCTCTTCCTTTTTCTCTCTCAATAACTCTGCCCATTTCTCTTCCTTCTTCCTCTCTCTCTCTTATAAACTCCCAATGCACTTCATAAAAATATATAGAATTTTTTGTGATATTTCCCTATAAATACTATTCATTTTGATTAGGTCAAAGTCAAACAATTTATATATTTTAATTAAAAAATGTGAATAAAAAAATTACACTATTTTTTTCAAACGATTACATTTTCTTACTTAATAAAATTTCTTTACAAAATACATGTATATAAAGTAGAGTGGATTTTCTTCGCGAACAAAAATAATTTAGTTTTACTATACTCTAAGTCGAGTTTTTAGGCCGAGTCACCCCTTGCAAATAGACTAATATTTTGTTTTCGAAAAGTCATGTCACTCTCATACAACATACCTTTTGTACTCCCAGTTGACTAACGCATTAAAAGATGGTCAGCAAAACTTTGCGCTTACACCACTTGATATACCAAATGTTGGGCGATTTATTGTCCCCCTCTACGCAAATTTCAGTCCTTTAACCTACACAACCATTGAAGCAAAACTCTGATACTCTCTTCATACAAACAACCACAGCATACAATGCTACATTCGGTATGACCTCCAACCCAAGATTGCTGATATGACTATCGGGCGGATTGGAAGCAGAGGCATTGGATAAACAATGAAGTCAGCACATTTAAAATGTAACCAAACAAGATTTATTGGACTTTCTCGCTTTTGTCTGGCTGTCAAACATTTACAGGGGTCAATGCGTCTTCAATGCGCAACAAATTTTCTTTCTATCATTATTCGTGCAATAAATTGTATTGTTCCTCTTGCGCTGTTCTGAACTTGAACTGGAGAAAGAGTTTTTATGTTTTTTTTTTTATTCAACAATCATTGAGAGTCATTGAACGAGTGGCTGTATCGTTGGAGATAATTCTGAATGTCAGGCTTTGTAATGAGACGAAAGTATTAATGTTTCAAATTATTTATAGATCAGAATCATGGTGAATTTATTTCCATAAGGTAAATTTTCAATTATTTGGGCGTAATTAAAAATGCTTCGGTGCACATCTACTCTATCCACTATTCCAAAGAGATTTTTTGCAAATAGTTATAGCTATTATGCTCTGCAACCCCTTCTCCTGCAATATAAAGTTAAAACGCTTTTTATACAAAGATGATCACTTTGGAGTATGAATTCCTGGCATTGAAGAATGGGCAGATAATTAAAATACTCCAAATCATAGTATGGAAATATCCACGAACGGATCAAAGCTTGACGGGAGAGTTGGCAGAGGTGTCGTCTCAAAAAACACTCCAATGGAACACTCATTCTGTGTACCTGACCACTGCAGTGTTTTCCAGGAGGAGATAACTGCTATTATGGAGGCTGCAAAGCGAATTGGAGCCAGCTTTAAAGGTAAAGATATCTTCATTTCCAGCGATAGTTAGGCAGCAGTAAAAGCACTGAGCTCGCTTTTGCTGAACTTCAAATTGTTGCTGAACTATTGCCGATCTCTACAGTAGTTGGCCAAACAGTACAGACAGTCTCTCATATAGGTCTCTCATGACTGGGACATCGAGAGAAACTATAATACGGATGAACTTGCTAGGCGGGTTACGACCAAGCAGATTCTTCCCAATAAATAACGCATTGGTATGCCTTTTGCTACATGCAAACTGATTCTCAAGGAATTCATACATGAACAAGCCACTACATGGTGGAATGACATCACAACCTGCCGAAAAACCAGGCACACATGGCCGAAATGGCATAAGAAGGGATCACGACCTATGTACTCCTCAAAAAAGAGGCGACATGTTCAAAGTTTTTGGAGTTCAGACAGGCCACTGCCACTAGGGGCTTCCAACAGAAAATGCTGCAGAAGCTGCAAAGAAGATGAAGGGGAGGAAACAATCACCCATCTCCTATGCGACTGTAATGCATTAAGCAGCGCGAGGTTTCGTAATTTTGAAACCCTGCTGCTGGATGGTCTATCGAAGATAGCTGACGTTAAAGTCATGGATCTAACGAGGTTCATTGGAGCATCAAAGTAGATAGAGGATGAAGCCCAATTGTTTAAGTTTTGTCCGATGTGTTAGATCGGTAGCCACCGCAACCTAACCTAACCTGTGCAATGATAAAACAATTGTGCCTAAAAATGCCGTCTAGTGCAAGTTCTGACCATACTAATATTATTTATAAAACCATCTCATTTGCAAAGAATTACATAAAAATTTCAAAATAATTCCAACTGCTTTCCATCACAATTCGATTATCAAGGCAGAGATAAATCAAAAAACGTACTGCCAGACAATTTTTTTTGCTGAGTATGTACAATACTTTTATATACATATTTATATGTATGTACATAAATGTTTATGTAAAAAACCCCAAGCTAATACAACCCATTAGATTCTTTGAATTTTACATGTCGCAAGCAGATGCAACATTCGAGCATGCAGATGATGCTAAATATCCATTCAAGCTCCATATATGTACGTGTATGTGCACTAAAACAAGCAAAACGATGACGGAAGAGGGAATTTTACAAAAATGTTCTAAAATGTAAAAAAAAAAGAAATCAAGGAAAATTAAAAAAACATACACTGCATGCTTCAGGAGAAACATTTAAAAGGACACCAAAGGACATTCAACATTTATGAGCAGCAGATAAAGAATAAAATTGAGAAAAACAAAAAAAAAATGCAAATTAAAAATTAGAAAAAAAAAATAAAAACATCTTTAAAATGCACAAAACGAAGCTGCCAAGAATTGGGAATGCAGACAGCGAAAAAAAGGATTCCAGAAAAGTCAAAAGAAATCGCTCAGAGATAAGGAAACGTGCTGTCGTTGCTGCAACCCAAAATTTTAACATTAAAAACTCTTCCTACATACATATGAGGGCACATGCTCTCACACAAAGAATTGTGTTGCTAAAACTTACAGCGAAACACACTTGCTAATTTGTAAATGAATGATATATATGTATATACATATGTATGTATATATATATATGTACAATATAAGTACATATTAGATTGGGTAGGTGTACAGTGTTCTAACTCCTCTAAAATCCGCTTGATAAAATATATTGCAAAATAAAAGATGAATACAAAACATCATGGAATATACTAGAGCTTAGGATTTTGTTTGAATATTTTCAATAGTTTGAAAGTACTAGCCCGACAGTTTTGAATTAAAAGTTTTAATTTTTTCCATATTTACCTTTGAGTTTTTTTTTTTAATTCTCAATTTAACGTAAGAAAATATGACAAAAAATTTCAAAATTTTGCACTGTTTTTCGCGACATATAAACAGCAATTTGAGCTGTTGAACAGTGAACAAAACTCTCGCTGCTCATACTTCAAAGTGTGGATCGGAATGAATTCTTTGAAAATTTGTCAGGCCTATCAATAGGTAGCGCCGTGAGACAACACTATGTTTTCTCTATACATCTGAGCTGCTTGTGGTGGAAGGTACTGGCTATTGGCACTTTCGCTTATGATACAAATTCTAGCTATAGATGTTCAGCTTGATTTGGCCTAAATGAAATCACCAAACGACTAAAAATCTGGCGAGTCAAAACCAGGGAACTTAAATTCTGTATTTACGACGCAAAGAGAAACTTTTTCAGACATCACACTCAGTTATATATGAAGCTAAATATCTTTAATTGTTACTTGATTGAAACCCCCTTGGACATATAAAAACATGTAAAACGTAAGGACCACGGCATAAAACTCAAAAACTTGTACTGGCTGATAAATCGTCATTCTCAATTATCTAACTGAAATATGTTGCTCATATATTCAATTATAATAAATTATGACCAATTTGGAACACAGCAGGCCGCTCTCTAACATGGAAATTCTTCAAAAATGCCTTTCGGGAACCCTCAGAATGATTGCTAACTCACCCGACTCTTACAACTGACCAAATCTACAGAGATTTGAAGATCTTTACTCTTTGAACGAAAGCTTAAAATAAGCAGGAAGATATGAGCTGAAATTATTATCGCGCAACTCATAACTCCAATATCTTTACGCCACTCAAGAGAAAGTCAATAAAAGAGAGAGGTTATACCGTTTAAAAATAAACTACAAATTACACTAAATAACATATATTCCAAAAGAATAATTTCTACTAACGCGACTTGCTGAAGTCTGTAAATTTAGACAGTAATAATCAGTAGCATACCGTAATCGAAAGCAATAAAATCACTTTGGGGAGGAGTTATATATGTAACAGACAGAAAATTTCAAATTGCCCAGCTTATAACAGTTTCCCAATAAGAAGTGTTATTTTAATATATATAAAAAATATATGATTTTTTTTATTTCAATGTAAAGAAGAAGATATGTAAATAATAATGGATAACAATATCAGTCAAATGGTAGCCAGGGTTACGCTTGCAGGACCATATCCTCTTTTTTAATTTTCCATCAGCAAATCGCAAATTGCCTTCAATAACTTCACGAGCTCCATCTCTAAGGTCTTCAACCGACATTGGTGTATTGGCGTTGATATAATCTTTCACATGGTTCCAGAGGAAGAAGTCGCAAGGTGGTAAATCACAACATCCTGATGGCCAATTGCGATTGCCTCTTCGAGATATGACACGGTTCGGAAACTTTTCCCTTAAAAGAGCGATGGTTTTGTTGTACTTAGCCTATGCTGTATTTTTAAATAAATTACATTAAAATTTATACGACTAAACAGCAAAATTAAAAGTATTTAGAAAAATAATATTTAAATTAAAAGCTAAAAATTAAAGATACCTAAGCATATACAATTTTGGGAAGAATATACCAGATTTATTAAATTATGCCTTATGCTGAATATCGTCTAGGTCCTCGCTCACGATCGTCAGAGTTCATCGTCAGTGTTTATCGTCCCTTCCATCTCTTCGTCTTTGTTTCGGTATTCTGTACAAGCCATGCCGACGAAACGTTGTAAATTGCGAAAACGCGGAAACCCTGTGAACGGGAAATTTTTCGTTTTATGAAATTTTTTTGTGAATTTATGGTTTTTTTTCGAATCATATATTAAAGCTGTGAAGTTGCTTATATCAATAAAACCGATTTTTAAATTGCTCTTTTTAAGCGATTAAGCAGAGAAGAGAATTTTAAATCGTTAGAGTAGACTTTTAAAACAATAAACCGACATTTAGTCGACGATTTCTTTGTTGCCCTTTTTGTCGAGAAGCGCTTTGGCCGTTGTTGTCGAAATTGCGCAACGCGACGTTCCGACAATTGACGCAATGATGAAATATCCACTCAAGATTATTCCTCGCTTTCCACTTCAGAAACTCTTTCTAAATCTGCTGCTAAAGTAGCGAGTCAATGTTTTCACCTTCAACACCAATTATCGCACCAGCTTGATTTAACAGCTTTTCGAATCCCATCAAAACAATCGCAACAGATTCTACAAGAGGAACCAATCTTATCTGCTTGTAACCCCTCCGTCGTTTGCTCTTGACCCTTTCTTGTGGTTCGTCTTTTTGTCTTCACTTTAAATTTGAAAGTAAAATAGAAATTGGATAAAATGAAAGATCAAATCAGTCGCAACAGATTCTACAAGAGGAACCAATCTTATCTGCTTGTAACCCCTCCGTCGTTTGCTCTTGACCCTTTCTTGTGGTTCGTCTTTTTGTCTTCACTTTAAATTTGAAAGTAAAATAGAAATTGGATAAAATGAAAGATAAAATATTTGATTTTTTTATGTTTTAATATGCCTTGTACCATCCATTGCGATCCCGCATTAGTTTTTATGGCAACACCTTTCCAATCATCCTCTTTGAAGTTGTATTGGACAACGTTTTTTTCTGGAAACTCCTAGCTATTTTTAAATTCTATCACAATCTCAAATTGAGCGTCTGTTCCGTTGAAGGATCACTAGTGAAATGACAGACGATAACAGACGAGAAGAAACGACAGAAAACGATGGCGACAACGTTGACGTATCTTCAATTTCACGGACGATGGCAACATTCAGCATAAGGCCGATTGTCATTTTCTAGGCTCTGATTTGAGAAACTAATATAAAGTCTTTTGTTTTTTTTTTGCAATAGTAGCGGAAATTAAATTATGTGTTCCGTTAGAGGTTTTGTAAAAATATTTCGGTTACACAATGAAATAAAATATTTAAAATTAAAAACTTAAATTAAACCGTTCGAAAATGGTTTCGTAAGCCACTGTCTAAGCATATCGTACTGTCTGAGAAATATACCGTTGCAATCTTACCTGGAAGTGGCGGAAATCATCGTTGCGAATGAAACGAGGTGAGGACTTCAAGTGGGTGCAAAGCAAAGGAAAAATATTACCGTTAAAATAGCAGTAAAGCAAGACTTGTCTACGTTTTGCAACCGTTTGCATGCGATTAAATTTGTGTTCGTGTGTGTGCGAGTGATATACATACAACACACGTGATTCGGTGGGTTCAACGCAGCGTAAATAGGAAAATCAATAAAACGTGTCTTTGTAGCAGCAGACAGACACTTTTACTTTTTATCAGACACGGCCAAGTAGACAAAAGAACACACATACATGCATGTTATGCACGGCAAGCGACCACAAGTATATGCACTTGCATTTTGGTGGTTGCATACACATATATACATATTTCCTACTTCCTCTCATTGCCTTTGGCGGAAAGTAGCAGAAAAGTACAAGGAAAAGGAAAAGGAGAGGAACCAAAAATACCGTCGACATTATGAATTGTCTATTTAAGTGGGTGTGGCTACAGTTGCTAAAGCTGAGGCTTAAGCTCTTCTGGCATGTGGCGACATGTCTGGCGTGATTTTTGCTTGTGGAGCTGCTATTTTCGAAATATACATACACGGACATACTTTACATATATATGAATGTATTTTTAAATGCCATTTAAAGCCGTTTTTGTATTTTTCCACACAATAAATACCAACATTTCGCATAGAACAACTGAATAAGCAGCAAAAAAATGAAAAAAAAAACAATTATATAAAATGAGTTGCAGCAAATGGGTTCTCGAAAAGTGAGCGGCATGCGCAACAACTGTGTTGTGCAACTGACAGACATATGTTGGTGTTGCTTAACTGTGTCTATGACTACGCGTCTACATAAACCAGCATATACTCTCAAGTTTATGCTTTGTCTGTTGCATTCACACAAAATTGGTTGCTCTCTGCCTGCGGTCCCTTCACCATCAACCCAAGCACCCGCCAGTCGGCCACTCGTTGTCATTCCTCTCGGCCATTGTGCAATTGCGTTACTTATGCATGCGTTCAGCAGAAAATTCCATTTCGTAAACATCATCAACATCGCATCAGCATTGCAATTGTAGTATAACAAGGATCAGCAACTTTCTCTTTGACAAAAGGGAAAGCTTAGCAAGTAAAAGAAAAGTAAAATGAAATGCGATAAAATATGCAAGAGTATATGCAAACATTAGAAAAAAGTTCTTCTGCTTTGATTATTTGCTTTATTTCCTTCTCGTTCGGCTTTTGTTGATTTTTTGATGTTTTGACAAAAGCACAAAATTTGTTTCAAGCGATTTGGACAGTCCAAATGGATTTTCCGTAAGACTACA